AACCATGCACATATTGGAATATTATACGATATTGAATGTGGTATGCATCGTCCATAAACATGTACTTTGCTCAACCTGACCCCCCCCTCGAAAAAAGGCAATCAGGACGTAAATGTAAGGATGCTTTCTCTGCAACTATGGTGTTCCGTCTTGATTTTTAACCATGAGACCATACGGAAGTGTCCCATGCGATTTTTGAATTCATCAGTTTTCAAAAAATACTTCCAAACCAAGAAAATATAATTCTGAAGGAGGTGAATGATAAGTGTCCCTCAGATTCCTTCCTCAAAGACCCTAGATCTGTAAACACCCTGGCGTTACGAGTCCAGCTGGTCTCTTTTTTTAACGATTTCTGTCTTCTTGCCGCCACCATCTCGCCTTGGACTGCCTTCTCCGCGCGGTCTTTCGCCCCTCAAGCGGCCCGTCCCCAGGTGGCTCGGCGGGGCCCGAATCGCTCCCTAACGGCCCATAACTCTCCTCCGGCTCCGCTCAAAGCCAGATTAACTTTACAACCTTCCGAAACTATACAAAGGGATTTAGAAAAGAAAAAAAAAATCCGCGGTTTTGTGAGATTTATTCCGATCAATAAAGCGATTCTTGTGAATTTGACAAGGTGATAAATTTGTTGATGTGGTGTTGTTATTTGCTTCGGTGGGAGTCATTTGTACGCTACAGATCTAGAAGTTAATTTTCACGGCAGGTCATTTTTTAAAATTGATTGGGCAATAACTCTTTTGAACTGCAATGAAGTCGTTCCTAAGTGGTGGATTATAAAATGTTATTTATTTTCAAATTGTGATATAGCCATTTGAAAAAAAAGTGATAAAGTTGCACGGTTATTGAAACTTATGAAACACACATGACATAACAACTGTTTCTAAAACATCTTGCACAAACGCCATGCTTGTATCATCAAATACACAATCCCATCACCTATCTGCCGTACTCTATATCGCGCTTGGGAAACAAATTCTCTGTATTGTTTTATTTTGCGTAGGCCTATCATTGTTACTTTCGGAGTCAGTTGAAATGGACATAAATCATTTGTGTACAGCAAAGTACACAAATCTCTCTTTTGAATAGCGAAAAGTGAATTCCTTTTTTTTTATCGCTGTTCGAATTTATCGCTGTTCGAATTTCCAAATTTGTAAACATCATTATCCGCTCAAGGAAACAAAACTACCTCCTTGTGATCGATGATATGCGTGATTGTCGTTGAATCATTTTTTGACCCAAAAAAAACCACTCATTTACACTGAAAAACTTGGACTCCAGAATACTCCAATCACCTTCCTTCCGTAGACGTTAGGCGCTATTAATTAATTCCATCGTCTTTTAAAAAGGACACTGTTCATCCCTCGACCTCCCTCAGAACACGAACGCGTGGAATCTTCCACCGATAACATCCCGCGTGAATCAGCAGCCGAGTGGGGGTGACTCATTTGTTTATCGAGGGATGGAGGAAAAGAAGAGGGAGGGGGAAGCATCTCTGCCCATCGATGACGTCAGAGCAGCGTCTCCGAGAGGGTAAGGCGGTCATCGGAAGTCGCTGGATAGAACAGGCGTCCGTGAGTCTTGGGCAAGGCTGCGGCCTCGCATATAGCGTGATGGATGGACAGCGTGGTTTACAAAGAACGATAACTTCCCGACACGCACAATGAGTTCAGTCGACATTTTTTTCATGTGTCAAATTCTTGCCCTATGGTAAAATCACGAGTACTCAATCTTCAATGTTTGTCTGCCGATTAACCACATGACAAGTCTACCACAGCAGACCTTGAACCACGTGTACAGTTTGGCAAACCACTTTTCACGGAAAATTATTTCAAAACCGCATTTTTTCCCAACCCTCTTAAATTGGCCTCATTACAATTCGATTTACCAGAAAAGCGACAACAGAAAACTATTACAAATAGTGCCCAGTGGTGTTGGGTCGCTCGGTTACTTTTCAATGCAGCAAACTGCCAAGTTTCTAATTACTTTGAGAAAGTTTTGTGATATATCTATACAGATGTATCTATATCTATAAATGTATCTAAAATAATATGAATCTATATCCATTTTGTGTTCACATACACAAAATGGCAGTGAAAAAGTTTTCATGACTCCTCGACGTTGCATTTACGAGATGCGAAGGGCGACAAGTGGGCATCATTGTGTCCACTGCTCTTTGTCATTCGTTTACTTCGTAAACGTGGAACTACAAAGTACGGGATCACATTGAGAACTTTTGGACGATGCTAAAAGCACAAAATGACTGAGAAATTTTCGCGGTCCTGCCGTGATCTTTTCTTTACGTCTTACAGAATCCCGGGTTGCAGCTGAGGCCCCCTTTCACGTCTTAATGGAGTGTGAAGATGATAGGCAGCAAGTTGATCTCCGGGAAATCCTTATTGGTTCAGTGGGGGAAGTCGCCTGTCTTATCGGGGCACCGTGGTGGGGGTTTGAACATCAGAGCCTAGTATAGGGTTTGCTCGAACAAGTGAATAACCTTCAGTCATAAAACATGCACATTCATCATCGTTGGGGTAGCGGTTTCATGCAGGGAGTTTTCGAAATCTGAGTTTCGTCTACCAGCTGCGGCATCCAAGATTTTTTACTTCCGTGACTTGAGGCTTGTAAAGTATTCCGATGAAACCGGAGCTTAAGACGGAACCGGGATTTCGAAAATGACCACAAACTTCATGTTCGACCGTGGCATTTCTACCCGCGCAGATCTCATTGGAAGTAGGATGTAACATCGTCATTGAAATAACAGGTTCACAGTACCCCTTTCACTGTAAACACGTTGGGCAAAATGGGTTGATATGTAGACCAACGTTGGTCAACATATCAACAGGTTAAACTCAATTTGTTTCCTGTTGTTGGAATTGTTTTACCCAAATTGGGTAATTTCAAACCAATGTTGGGTAAAATTATATTGCCCAACAGTGTTTCACCCATTATTGTTTACAATGTATCAACGTCGTCCCCGTGGCTTTTAATCCTCGCGTATTACAACTGTGGTCATTGAGACCGAGGTTGAAGCGGACCCCGGGAAAACAGTTGGTATACAACCGTTTGGGGGCATTGGTTACAACATAGAAATTCCTTGCTCACACTGTAAGTGTAACAACGCCCCCCATAAAGTCAAAACGTCTGAAAACTTAATGTAAAGAAAACAAAATCGGTTATGCAAAAGGTCACTGCCTGACCTGATAAACCATATAGAAGCTGATGACGTCACATTTTTTTTCGCATACGTAAGCTCGCTCTATTGTTTGCGTCATAATCATGCACTGGTACTTGACGTTTTTAGGCCCAGGCCTTGACAGTTTATCAAACCGAAACAAATTTCATCATATTCTTTTTTTTCAGTCCGTTAACTAAGACATTGCTGTTCCGTAGATCTAATTAGATTGACATCCAATTGTGGAATAACAAGCGATAAAAATAGTCTCCTGCCCGACTTTATTTCTCATCAGGCCCACCGTGGTCACGGGAGCTGGAACCTTTCCCATTCGTGCAGATTCCAACGCTGTGGCCCGCTCCACGGGGAGCGAACAGTCAGCGTAAACTGACCTCCTCGCCCGCCCGTACCGAGCGGCGAACGAACCCATGGACCCGGCACGACGGCCGCGCTGCTGGCCGGGTTACTATCGAGATTTTTTGTTCGTTTCATCTCCCGGACTGATGTAACTCGAGACTTGCCTCTTTTTTCTTGTCTAGATCTGAGACGGGCGTATGATGTGCTACAACAGGTGGAGCTAGGGTGGGGGTACACATCGTTTGTGAAGGGATATTATTGGCTATGGAAGTTTTCTTATTTGTAGTTTTATGTCTTGTATTTCCTTCATTGAGCTGTCATCGTGTGGTGTACCGAGACAACTTGTCATTTTCATGGTTACATGTCGATGCCCACCCGACAGCTGCGGCCAGCTGTTCATCGAACTATTTTTCCTCCCTTCGCTCACTGCAGTCCACGGCCAAAACTCGTCCACAACAAAGATTGTCCGAGCATCCGAGACACGCACAAAAGAACAGACATCACAGACGCATGACTAACTTTTCGATAGCCAGTTTCAGTCTGGAAACTTTCACATCCGAGTAGTGCCATTTTTTTTCAAGAAAGACACCCTGGTTTCATTGGTTTCCTTGTTTTAATTGGCCAATATGTACGGTCGTCGACAAGCGACCATATAGACATCCAGTGTGTTAACATGCAAAACTTCCCGTCAAACAAAGTGGCAAAATGCGTACTACTTTGTTTATTGTTTTATTTTTGTTTTTCAGATAATTCAGAGTAACTTCAAGTAGGTACTGAGAAGTTGGGCGTTATTTGCCTTGTTATCGTTTTTGTGCTATTTCTTTCCAAAGCATGACGACTATAACTGTAAAATGCAGAATATTTCACGGCCTTCGAATTTGTGAATATGACTCAAAGGATTGTTTTACGTCTGTTTTTCCCAGAGCAGATCATACTTGTGTCCCTCTTTATATTCATAAAAAAATTGTTCTCTTTCCTTTGTGTTTCGTTCGTAACAAAGTTGTATGCTGCCAGATGAATGGTGGCGCTGTACTATTTATACAGTCTCAAATGGCGGCATACAACGCGAGAGGGCGCTATTATGCCACAATGAGCTAGAGCCGAAGTGAATTGCGACTTGGTACTTTTATTTCGATTCGAATATACTTAATATACTGTATGATTCATGTCCCGATTGAGGATTGACACCATAGTAAAGTCAAGTTGTGTTTAGGTTTTTCACTAATTAAGCTTTCCAAATCCGCAGCGGGAGTAGACTTGTATAAAAAAAAAAATCAGCGTCCAAACCGAGGCCCCATGCTCTCTTTTGTGGCGTGAATTGAGAAAGGGAAGATTTGCACTGTACCGAAGCGGGTCAACACTGGGAGCCTCGTCTTCGATGTTAATTTGAAACTGTAGGCTTGGTCTATGACTGGTCACTGTATAACTGTAGAATAAAACTCTAGTTTTTGTTTTTGTTTTTCTCGCAACCCAGGTTTGGTTCCAGAATCGGCGCGCCAAGTGGAGGAAACGGGAGCGCTTCCAGCAGCTGCAGGGCATGCGTGGAATCGGGCCCGGCGGGGGCTACGAAATGCCGATCGCCCCCCGCCCCGACGCCTACTCACAGGTGAGTCCCCCCGGCTTCCACGTGGGCGACATCACTCAGCCACCGGCCCCCGTAGAGGGCGCCATGCTCCGCATTTGCAGAAACCTGCAAAACCTGCGGCGGGAATTTGACACGCGCAAGCTGGCCTCCGGGCAGGCGGGAGAGGGCGCTGTTGATAGCCAGTCGCCAATGGTAACTAGTTAGTTTCGACTTTTCTCTTCTTCCAACACAAACACGCATCGTCGGACTCTTGAGCCCGCCATATTGCCTGCAGGCTTTTGGGGTCAAGCATATTTCTTTCTTTTTTCTCTTTTCGTTTAGTTGAAGAGAATGAGTTCTTTTTTTCGTTGAGTTTAGTTACAGTACACTAGAGGCGCAAGTAAGCGACGTGTAGTCAAACACTCTAAAAATATCTTCAAAAAGATATGCAGTTTAATAAGTAAAGTTTTTGTTAAGTGTTGGGAAAACGTACAAAGTAGAGATATCCCAATTTCCTTTCTAAACCCCACTGAAACTATTTTGAGAAAATGCATACCAAAAGAATCAGGGTTCTTTCAAGGGTGTGTGTTGCTGTAACACTTTACCAATGAACTATTATAATCATTAAAAAAAATTAAACAAAGTATCTCATTCAGATTGATATAAAATTCACACACCTTTGTTTTTTATCTTTCCTTGTTTCTCGTTCAAAGCATGCAGATTATGGACTAATGGGACAGTGGGTTCGGAATTTTCATTGCGAAAAGGTACGAGAAACTATTTTTTTTTTTTTCATCAGAAACCAACCTACCACCTATCCATGAACGTTTTTTGCGTGTGTGTGGCTAAAAAAAAATCCCCGCTTTTTTTCCTTGGACACTTATTTCAACACAAAGTTGTTTTTTTAAAGCCATGAATTTTTAAAGTGAGGCAGATTTTTTTTTTTTTGTACCCAATGTTCATGATTATTGCATGGTGGTGCGAATACTGCGGCTGTGAAATGTTGTTTTTTGCACCATGGTTGCATCAAAAAGTGTTTTACGTTCGTCCCTAAAGTTTGGGCAGAATCAGTTTCAATTGCATGGCTGCATGTTTATCTCATGCTCTTTCTTTTTCTCTGAGTTGATTTATTTCATTTTTTATCAAGTCAAGGAGCCTGCCTTGAGCCGATTTGTGTTTGCATTTTCTTGCATGATCGCAGAGAAATTCCTTTTGGTTTTCCAGTCGGGTTCCCTGACGTGCTTGAGTGCCTATAGATGATGTGACTTTTGTCTGATGGTGATCATGATCACCGGCATTCAACTACTATAGATTGGAGCCTTTGTCTTTTCTTCAAATCAAGCTCATGTCATTAGAAGTTTCCATCCTTCTGTGATCTCGATTTTATGCCTGAAGTAATTATGCAATGGCGGCGATCTCTTGTCACAATAGCTTCGAAACTTGAAAAGAGGGGTGGGCTGAAATTCGTCTCTCTCTGACTCTAGGTGGCGCTGTTTCAACCTAAAGAATTCCATCATATTAGAGTTCCAGGCGCACATTGATAAAGGTATCTTCAGTCCCAAAAAAATTACAACTCCGATAAATCGTTGACGGAGAGAAAGTATTTACAATATTATTCTGTAGATACAAAGACTGGAATGATTTTTTTTAACTTTAATTTTGTTTATATTATTTGAAAGAATTTACTCCCTTTGTTCCAATTCTGGAGTTTCTCAGTGCCGCGTGCTTCGAAGTGTAATTAATTACGTCCTGTGTATTGTGGAAGAAAAGAAAAGAGAAAAGAAACAAAACTAGAAGATCTGAGGGCAGTGGTCACATCACCTATTAGCATAGGGGATGATAGATAGAACGTCCTGATAACGAATACCCAATAACCAGCAGCTGAAATGTATGAATAGTCATAAGCACGAATTCAAGCAATGTTGACTCCGATTGGTCCTTCAGCTGATGACGTACTATCTTTTGTCTCATGGTCACTGATTTTGCACTTATGCTATTGCATGTTAAGGTCTCACCAAAGCCATAACGACGAATCACAATGAATGATTAAAAAACAAATCATTCCAAAAATTGTATCCGTTTTCTTAAATTCCTTGAAAACTGAGCTTGAATTCAATTAAACAGCTAACCGTTAACCAATCAAATGCCGCCAATTCAATGGTCGCACGCAGTTGTTTTAACAAGCATTGTGATTGGTCAGTTAAGGCTGTAAATGTGATGAAGTTACCTTATTTGAAGAGTTTCAGGTATTATGTACAAGGATGCAGACAAAAGATTTATTGCAGGATTTCTTTGATTTAGAGAAAAGAGATCAAACTTTCTATAATATAGCATTCAAACTTTCCCATTATGAAAAGGATGTGAAAGTCGCATCGGCCAAGCTTTTCAACCACTGTTTTATTTGAAAAGTATATTTTATAAAATGTGAATCATAATGGCTGAAACTCGTTCGCTTTGTCCGATAGACACATCATCTCAGATATTAAGAAAAAAAACCTGTAAGGCAGTCCTCTTCAAACTACAGAGGGCGCCTTTTATTTACAGCGCCCTCAATGTACGATTTTGTTTGTTGAGGGCCTTGATTTTGTGACCTACACCAGCTTTGTATGATACAAATCATGCTAAGTATCGCATTTTTTTTCTCTTTTTTTTTTGTCCAGATGCAGCCGTCTCCATGGGGACACAACATGTCTTCACCTCTGACATCAACCATGAATCCCGCGCCTATGCAGATGCAGCAGTCCCCCCACAACTCGTGTATGGCACCCCAGTCCAACCTTCCCAGTTTTATGGGCGTTACTAACCAGAATCAGCTCAACCAGCTCAACCAGCTCAGCCAGGCCACCAGTCCCATCGCGGCCGCAGCCGGCAACAACGCGGCCGCACAGTTCATGTCCCACGCCGCGGCGGCGCAGGCGCAGGCGCAGAACATGAACACCTTCAACGGACAGTACACGGACACGGGAGCCATGCATTGTGGGCAAGAAGGCGGCGACCGGAGAACAAACAGTATAGCTGCACTGAGACTGAGAGCGAAGGAGCATAGCACGGTGGTGGGAATGATGAACGGATACTCCTAGAACTCATACAACTAAAGAGATGAATTTTATGAACTTCTTGTGAACAGCATCGGCACTGGAGATGCTGCTGATTGCGCTGGTCCCACCGGGACCTAGTACTGGACGCCATGTCAATCACAGCGTACGTTGGACAAGCAAAAGGGTACCTTTGGTGTCAGAAGTGGGATCGAGTGGAGATGGTTTACCTCAGAGAGTACGCTTCGGCCCTTCTGTGGAATCACGGCTGCGAATTCTGATTCGTCGATCGAGGCATGCTTGTGCTCTTCTTTGACCGTCACATTTGAGTCAGGGTGCCAGATCCACATCGTGCTCCCACATCGGAGCCTGCAACTCAATTAACGCGGTGTGAATCCCAGAATGGTATGGTAGGGGCTCTTGTCATAATCAGACCCGATTAGCAATGTTCTAAAGTTCACTCAGCTAAACATCTATTAGCTGCTTGCCGATAGGGTGCCAAAATGGACGTTGCAATAAGGCCTGATTGTAATGAGCGTCCTTATAGATACAAAACCATCATTGAGAGATCTAAATGATTCTGGTTATTACAGGAAACTTAGTCTCGTACACGATGAGATCAAGACTTTCTTTGCCGTGGTTGTGATTCCCACCGTCCCACTGCATCCGGTTTTTCCTCAGAACGATTTTAAGGGCGATGGGAAAATAACACCTGTGTACAACCAAAAGAGAGCGAAGGGTCAGACCGTATAAAGCTTTAGCGCACGCTGGAACGTTCTCTGGGAAAAACGAAACGTTGAGTGGTTGACACAAATACAAGAAGCTGTAATATTCATTATAATTATAAGATGAAGAATATTTATAGATAAATATTTCTGTTATCTTGAATTTTTTCTGGATGTGTTTTCTTAGTATCCTTAATTTGCGGTTTTGCTGTACATTTGTCCATGGACCAGGTTGATAGAGTATAACGGTTCTTTACTTTGTTTTATATAGATTTGAATTTAATGTTTAGTATAGGGCCTACTGTGGTGTATAATAATTGTGATGTAGTGCATTTGTACAGAATTCAGTTTTGGACCGAAAGAAAAAGATAAGTTTTTTTTTTCTTATTTTATTTCTGACTCGAGTTCACCCCTCGGTTTTAATAGATACCGTGTATGTCGTGTTTTATACACAAGTATTTATTACCGTCTAGATGGTGACATGTTTCAGCCAACCAGCTATTGTGCTTGCCAAATTGAGGAGAAATGGATTACGCGTTAGTGTAGACTTCAAATAGAGATAGAACATCACAAGGGTTGCAAATGAACTACCGACAAACACTTGAAATTTTACATTACGAGTTCAGACTTATATGTAGTGCAGGCACAGATTACAAGTCTAGAAATCACAGACCTTTTCTTACAAAGTGAGTGCATTTTCATCTCGAAGAAGACTGCCGCCAAGTCGAAAAAAATGGGACCATTAGGATAATTTGTTGTAGAATGCCATAACGGTGGAAATTCACCACAAAAAAAAACACTTGTGGACAATATTGCCAAACACTGTATTTATGTCTACAATAACCGTCCTAAACGTCCATGACTTCAGGCCCAAAACATAAACATCTGTAGAAGATAGCATTCACTGTGTGAACTGTGTTTTGTGTATCTCACTTGTACTTCTGCCGTCGGGAAAAAGATTATAGACAAACTTGAACATCGACAAATCTTAAAAACCAAGTTTAGTTATCGGGTAACAGAAAGCAAAGCTGTTTTAATTACTGTTAAAGTCGTACTTTGAATACTGTTGTGTAGAACAAGGAGCTGTTAGTTAGAGGTGATAGACGTTTTAGAAAGAAAAAAATCCTTACAAAAAGAGGGTTAATGGAACAGCATTACGTATTTCAGGGAGTTTTTTGGCAGTTATTAAAGGCTGTACTTTTTTGTGTAAATAATAGCTTGAATATGACGTAAAATTGATAATTCTGGACTGCATCTGAAAATAATATGGCCGCATCGTGCATGTACATTAGATTCCAATATCCCAAGCCCGTGTTTGATGCCGCAAACAATGAACTTTCTAATTTAGAAATTGTTAGGAAATCACGTGACTCATTCAAGTGACCTTTGCTGCTCTTCAGGAAGGTCATTTCCACAAATTTTGCACATTTGTAAAGCTTCTGTGACAATGGTTACTATAATTTGAGAGTATAAGCTGGCTGAAGGTCAATAGAATCCGGTAATCACAACGTTCACACCTGTTAATTCTGTGTTCGAACACATGATAATCTATGGACACAAGGGAAGATTTTATAACCTGCATGATTTTGTGTAATTGTGTGTGACACATACCAGCCCTTTTCTCACCTGACTCATAGTGGCAGAGCGCCGTCACTTGTTGTTTTTCCGATTTTTGTTATTGGTTTAATGTCACCTTATGACATTTAGAAATTCATTCTCGTGATTATTATACGCAGTGAAAGACTGTCTTGTTCAAAGCTAGTGAACGACGAAAGTAACTGTGACACGCATGCGCGAATCTAAATTCGAAAAGACAACCGCAAGAGGGCGCTCTAATTAACCTGAACAAGAAAACAGCAAACTGTCATGATCAGGTTTTCTAAACTTGGTCTTCGTCCCCAGGTTCGGCTTTGTCTGCGTAAGAACCAGAGAGGTATGAGTTTTTGATACTCCAGCCAGAAGGACATTATACTCACATTTGGCATCAATGCCGTGATGTGCAGATAACCCAAACAACCCAACACTGAGCCTGTTTCTCCCTCGTCAGGGAACTAGACCCAAGCATGAAGCCAAATCTGAAGACTAAACCCACGGTTTCATTAAATTTCAGTTTTGTCAATTAAAAACCATTTTGGAGGATTCAAAGGATGGAGTTTTGCGTCGGGGAAATGTAAATTCAACATCGGGGTTTTGCCCTTCAGTGACGTACACTTATGCTCAGTGTTGTCCGAGGGCTTGCGGAAGAAATTTACAAGCTTACTTGGGTGGGACTCGAACCCACGACCTCCTGCTTAGTGCAGACGTCCTACCACTCGACCACCGAGCTTGCCGAGATTGGCTGAGTATACAGTGTTTATAAATACGTCAGTGCAGGGCGAATCCCATAGTGTTGAATTTTTGGGATACCCAAGAGTAAGTTGTGCTTGTGAAACGGAATACAGTAAACGCACTTCACTGGCATTCTTTCTGTAAATAATGGCCTACACTAGTTCAACAATAATACCAAACCAGAGAATGTGATTCATTACCATCAGAAGCAACAGAAAAAAACCCCACTTGTTTGAACATGTGCTTAATTTCATTGTTAAATTCGCCTGGGGCATAATGTATGAATAAATAATTGTAGATGTAACAATCAGGGCGAGTGTGTACAACATTTGAAGCTTTTTTTGTATATATACCAAATTGTGGAGACGAGATAATAAAACAGTACTCCTCGACCTGGAAAAAAAAACTGGAGTCACCTACTCTCTTTATTTGCATATTTTGTAATTGGCAAAAAAGAGTTTGCGGTTTTGTTTGTACTTTAAAAAGTATACTGGGCTGCTTTTCGAGGGTATGGGGGTGGGGAGGGGTTCGCTACTAATATTACGACAAGCTTGCTTTTTGGAGAAGCCCACCGCTTAATCTTATCCTGTTATCTAAATTATTGTTTAAACCGTTTCCCTTCAAAACGATTAAGTGGAAATAAATATGAATGAATAATGATGTATGCACCACTCTATACCTACACCAAACAAAATGCAATGCGAGAGAACAACAATCCTTCATATTTACATCAAGCATAATTTATTGTTCCACAATATTAAGATGATTAAAGAGTGAATTAAAAACAAAGATCCATAAACTTTCATTTTTCAATAATCAGGCGTGCGTGCAGATAACTACTTCCATAGGGTGACCTTTAGCTTTTTGAGATTTTTTGCCACCAATTAATGATATTTTCAAACGACCAGCGTGATTTTCAGGGCATCAGGAAACCTTAATGTGCTTTTCAGTGCAAAAATAGCATATAGAAGATGGATTGTACTGGCGAAAGTTAGCAACGTGTTCTTGTAATTTCCACAATAATTGACTCAAAGACTTCAAAATGTAATGTTAACCGTGTATAAATCCTCGGAGTACAGCAAACTGTCACGTGGCAATAGCGCCCTCACTTGGCAATAGTGGTCCAGGCACTGCTCAAAGACTTCACCATGCACCACACAAAGCAATGTTTTCTTAGTGGAAAATAAAGTGCTAATATTAACGGAGTTTAGGTAAATAGTAATCAGAGATTCATGTCGCCTTGCACTGTACCTTGGTGCATTAAAAAAAACCGTTATATGCAGTACTGTGCTCGTCGGCCGTAGCACCCACTGCACTATCCAAGGCCTGGTGATCTCTAATTTCTTCAAACTCTCGTATATGTATATACATGTAGTTTCGTTGAACTGGTGACGCGGGGGTAAATACATATTTTTCTGCAACCAAGTATAGTCACTGGCTATGCGTAAGTTGTCAGCGGAAAGTTCGCTCGTACCCCCCGCCCTGCAAACAGGACGCTGGAATACTCTGATGAGCTTCACAGAATCTTGTGAAGGAAATGACCTATGACCTATGTATAAAGCATCTGGCTGCAGCTGTTCAAGACCGCAGTTAGACAATGTGTGCAAATGCTATCCGAAAACCGCCCATAGAAATGCACACGTTCCATACCGGATGTGATTTCTGTTTCACAGCGGACCATGTGGACAAAATTTTGAGCGTCGCATTATGCAATCCGACCGTTCGTGATTCGAAACGGAGCCTGAGCAAGTGACGGGAATTGTAAAGTTACAACACAGATAAGTTTTACAGAATTTCCTACATTATTGCGCTTTTCAGTGAAAAAAATCTGTAAACTGGAATAAAAGAGTAATGAATCAGTCGTCACGGCCGTTTCAAAACTTGCAGAGTCATGACCTTGATGACGCGCAGGTCACTGGTCACGTAAATCCAACCAATCGGAGCGTGAATTCATCAGAGTATCCCAGCGTCCAGTTTGCAGGGCAGGGGGTACGAGCTAAAGCGAAAAGGTTCTCGTGCTTTAATTTTCCAGAGCCATAAATCCGGTGAGAAAGTTGACATTTATTTCATTGATCAGCATGACTTGATTTAACATAACTTTTAGAAAGAAAATTTGGGGAAATGGAGTTCAACAAAATGCGAACCTACGGGCTGTGGTTTATTCAGAAGACACTATGGTTCACCCACCATGCTTCTGTGGCGATTCGAATTCCTTTCGAAATGTAAATGGTATAAAGTTATCTCAAATCACATGATATATGATTGCAACCACGTTATGCTTCGCGCATGCGTATTCAAGGGTCCATGAAGTGAATATATCTTGTGCAAATTTCTAATCCTCTAAATGCATGGTAACATTTGACATCCCTTTTTGTTTTAATTTGATTGAAAAGTGCACTTCTTTGAACATTTAAAAATGTTCAATGCTTTTCCGTACAGCTAAGGCGCTGTTGCTGTGATGTCATTTCAGGAACTAGGACACAGTTCAGTTTATGGGTTTTCTGTTCAAATTGTGAACCCTAAAATTTGCTTATTGAAATAAAAGTGTGTTTGGTCATCGGCTATATATATTGCCATGTACTGACACAACAACGGATCACCAAAGAAAAGAAAAAGTTACGACAGCGAAATATCCCAAATTCTGGTAACTTTTCGGGTGCTGAATTAGCCGTAACATTGAGGTTTCTGCCTGAAATGACATCATAATTTTGCTCATGAATACGGAAATTCGCCTTTAGCATTAAAACCAAGGCTCGACTCCCCCCCCCCCCCCGGATCCGCGCCTGGTGCCTCAATATCCCCGAAGGCCCTAATATTATCATTTTTTTTTAATCAACGCGAGCGTTCACAGTATGCAATTTGCACAAACAGTGAGAATAGTTATAAATTCATCTGCTGCCACCAAGAGTTAGAAGATGCATGTATGAGAGTAGTGTGCCACCAACACTTTGCCGGTGCCTCGAAGATGCCACTGTCAACTTACGGTCGACCTCTGGCAAACAATTATATAGTCCAGTAACAAAATCATTACTTTTACGAGACCAGGGTTTCAAAATAGCTTTGGGACTGTGAAGACTGTTTGCAACGCCAACAACTGTGAATTAAACAGGCTAAAGACAATCTTAACAGAGTCTTCTAGGCTGATTCCGAAGAAAGCGTATTTCGTTTAACCCTAAAAGGGCCGGCTATTTTGACCATCTCTCAGTGACCATCGAGTCACGAAAAATTATGAAACTCGGTACATGCATAGAACAACTGTTTATAAAGATACCCAAGAAATGTCATGTCTATAGGTCAAAGGTTTTTGGAATTATGGCTAATTAATTATTCATATGCACGAATGGTAATTCTGCTCTGCGTACACTACGCATATGGGGAAATTTAGTTTTCACGGCGCGTAGCGCCGGAAAATTTTTAGTTTTTGGTATCGAAAGATGCGCAAGGCTCGAGGCTAAAAAGTCAGAACAGCTCGGGTTGCGAAAACAAAAAAAATCAAGGCTATAGCGGAAGAAAATTGAGGGGGGGGGGCGGATTCAGATCCGCCCCAGCCCCTTTAGGATTAAGAGCTCTAGAAGAATACAGGTATACACAATCAAAATTTAAAAAGAAATCATTAATTAACAAGACCGTACTGCCTCAAATACATGTAGTAAGATTTATGTAACGTGTAGCAGTGCTATAGTAACATCGATGATATATTTTCCGTGGTCACTTGTTCGCTCTTATTTTGGTCACATTATTTTTACAAAGTTGAGGACTGTGAGCGAACGAGCCTAGTGTCACCGAAGACCTCCTCGTGGGTCAGTAGTTGCTTGGCGTCGCCCGACAGACCGTCTAGGTAGATCACACGGGAGGACACGTCTAAGATGCACTGGTGAAGGAAACAAAGGACAACATTGTTAAACAAATAATGAACATTTTACCGATGGAAGACAATATGCCGGCAAAATACAAAGCTGTGCTTGTGTCAAAAGTATGTTTTTGTCTCACAATTAAACGTTTTGGAAAAGGAACCAGCCAACCGATCCCGCAAGCTCGATGTTCGAGTGGCACGACGTCTGCTCTAGAAAAGCAGGGGGTCGTGGGTTCGAGTCCCACCCGAATGATTTTTTTTCTAACTTTCAAGTATCACACTGTGTACACAGTGTTTATACGTCGGTGAAGGGCAAAACCTACTATTGATTGGAAAAAGATGCGTGTAAAATATTACTCTTGTTTTGATCAAGATTTTTTAAACGAAAATAAAGTTGAATTTTCAAGTGCTGCCACAAAAACTCACCCCTCACACAAAATGGCGGTTTGTATTGAAAAAATAGTATTAAAAAGAATCAAAAAAGACGTTTTAGCCAACCGCAACAGAGAAAAAGAAATAACTTAAAGACGTTTGTATTGACTGTACCTTATGTCGATGTAAGACATCCATTCCGATTGTTGTTAAAAGCACATTGGAATCATCTACGAACGTAAAAGACATATACAGTATATAAGACATATTCGAATGGAGAAGTGCATTTATTTGGGAGTTGGTAATTTACAGGCAACACTTTAAATCAGTTAATTTTGTAAATCTTTATCAATTTACCAGGCACGACTGTCAGATTGCATTCAAAGGGCGCCCTCCCAAGTCGGAGCTGGGTTACGATCCTGAAATCGTCCGTCCGTATCTCCGGGCATTTGTGCGTGGCTCCGTTGCTATGGTTATTGATCTCTTTCCCGCCCACGGCTATCAACCTGTTGAAACAGATTGCTCTAGATGTTTAATAAAAATGCCAATTTTAGGGTTGAGGTTAAAAAGCGGGGCAAAATGGGACAAACATATTATTCCTGATTAAGAAAGTGGGTTGTGAACGAGGGTGTAGCTATGACGTCATCGCTCGGTCTACATAAACCAGTCTTGACAATCACATGTTGTTCAGCGTCTGGGAAAAATTCTGCTCAGAACAAATTTCAGGGTGCTTTTTGTTCGAGTAGGCCTAACCCTACTCCGATATAAAACAAAACATAGAATTTTTTTTTAGCCAAACTATAAGTGTTCCCAAGTTAGAATAGCACTAAAAATATTGTCTCTAATGAAGCCAAGATGTTTTTAATAAACACACGAATCTGGATGGAACGAGGCGTGCACAAAATCAGTTTAGTTTAAATTACCCATACGCCTGTGCGATACCACGTGGTATGATGGACTCCACCCTTCCTGTGTCTATCATGGCAACTGCTTCATCGCCATTGAGCTGTCAATTAAAAGAAAATTGTAACATGAAACTTCCACCGGCATTTTATAAGTTAAATTACCAAGATTTATCACTGGAGGCCTACATGTACGTACAGAAAATTATCAATTACGCACAAGTATATGTATGATGCCAAAAGCAAAACAAAAGCAGTGCAGAGCTGCTGTAAGGACGTAATGTTCAGATTTACTTAAGAAGGTTCGTTATACTCGAAATCTAAAATTTGTGAAGTCGTCTCAAATCACACAATATGTTATTTCAATCACGTGACGTGCCTCACGCCTGCGCATTATGGTGAATGACTCAACCTCGTTACCAATAAGTTTCGTTTCTTCGTCTCCACTGGGCGGAGCATACTGCTCGACATCATGGGAACGAGGTCGGTAAGTGACTACTCTTTGCTGAAGGAGACATTATTTTCTTTCGTCCAACCCACCCACCTTGCAGTGGACGTACAGCAGGCTTGCCGTCGATTGGCCCGTCTGGTCCCGTCCTGCGAATTTCTTTTGATGGTCAATGTCTGTCGCCGACTTCCGCCTCGTCTGCGGCTGCGCAGGAATGTCAAGTCTCTTCACCAGCTTCTGTTTCAAAATGGCTGCCGGTTGCTATGGGTAGGGATGAAACAAATAAATATGTATTCCACGTTTGAGGGCGATAGTCATGTCGAAATACTGCATCTGTGGCACAGGGGAACTTTTTGTACTAGTGTAAAAGAACTTAATACAATATATAGATATATACATCACATTTTATCGCATGAGATAACATCTTAGGCCTAAGTTTCCTGCAAATCATTGTTTTAATATTATAGGGAGACCAAGTGCGCCCTCAGTTGTTGTTCGTCCAAAGTTTGGCAAGGTGATTTGCATAGTGTGACCTTTGTGCTTCCCGCGCAAAGGCAACTTGTAACAAGTTTTCTCCTGTGGGCTTCGAACAGAGAAGACCAACATATATTTTGTCTAGAAAATTATCTTGTTTTTGTATATAGGGAGCATGGCTCCTGCCATGCTCCTGAGATATATCACTGTGGTAGGTTAATTTCATAGATGATTCCCTGTGAGTATTGCTCTGTTTTATCATCATTTTGTGAGGGAAATTGTGTATTTTCGGGATGAGAGTTGAGACATGATTCGTTGCATTTTAGGTTTGTACTGTGATGTGTAGCGTATATACCTATACAGACATGTGTTGAACTTGGACACACACTTTGTATTTATTTTGACATTTTATTGTGCACACAGGCTTGAATGCTTGAAGTGTTGTGATGTAAGAATAAATGTATTGTAGTTAGGAAATTATAGTCGTCACATCATCATAACTGTATATTTTGTTTGAACACTCGTCCGCTTTAGTTAGAGGACCGTTCCTCCTTCCTTCCCCCTTTATTGACGTGGGAGCTGGTTCACTTCAATATGAACGATTTGTACACACAAACATTAATTATTTGTGCACTGACTGCCATTTCCTAAATTTCCAAAGTGCACGGATTGAACACAACCAACAGCCTGCATCAATTATTGACAAAGAAACGGAACAAGTTAAAGTCGGAATATTATGAAGTTGTGTCGAAACCTGCGCAAGCAATCAACCACTCAAAGCCCATGCACAAGATAAAAAAAAGCAACTTGGCGGTTTATTGATAAAAACACACGAAGTAGCTTCTGCGTTCTGCCCAGCTCGCTTAGGTTCGAAATAGAACTGCATCCACTCGGTGGGAGAAATTGCCACTCGTGCGTGGAGTCAAGGACCGCGATCTCCCCGTCACTATCTCATGAGGAAGACAGCAACTTCCGCTACCGAGCCATTAGTTATCGTGTTACGTCTTCCGGAGAGTACCTAACACTTTCCGCCGCGATGTCTGGCCAACCTTTTTGCCGGGGCCTCTTCCCGCACTTCGACGAGAACACTTGACGGGCCCCGGTGGAGATGGACGGGGGAAGTAGAGGGGAGAATTAACTGTAACATTACAATCCCACAACTGCCCGCTATCCACCGTAATATGATTGTATGTACATGTCGTGGCTGCACATATCGCGTACGTTTTACATGCCAACTGGTCTGCTGGGGATAGTAGGCCTATGTAGTTAGGGAAGAACGTCAAATTAGGTCGAATGCGGAAAATTAGGTAAGAACCTGCTGTCACTGATGGAACTCCATGGAATAGGCCTATATCCATACACTGCACGGGGTTGCAGGTTTAACATACAAATCTCAAAGGCCATTTTTACCTGTTGACTATGCTCCCTTAGGCCTGCAGTACCAAATTGGTATTTCACATTGTGAAATGACAACAAGCCTGACTCTACAAACTCATTACCCATCCCATCCCAAAGGCAATAAACTGTCACATTGCAGAACCAGGTTTGCCACTTTTAAAGTTTGCATTGGTCAGGGATGTTGCAGTTCAATGCTTACATATGCAATGTCGTATCGGATTCCAGGCTTCTTAGGCTTTGTGCCATTAGGTATGCAATCGGACATGGGTTTGCTGTCTCATGTTATATTCTTCAAAGTTACAGCCAGTAGGCCCACAATATACTCTCGGTTTCATAATCCCACTCCATTTTGTGCATATTAAGGGCGGTGCTACACTTTGTAGCATGCTGGCTATATTTAGCCTAGCCATGCACCGACACAACAATGGCCCTTAGGCTGTTTGGGATGTAGTAGGCCTATATCTCAAATGATTGGAAACAATTGTCAGTCAAGGTTTACTACCAGTTCTATAGTGTCAGTGTGATTGATGGCTGTCCTTCCCGGCTCAAAACCGTTTACTTGTACCCCAAGGATCGAGTTGCTAATATGAACAGATGGTTCCTTGTTACTGGGGCTGGTGCTTGGCTAGGAAATTCTGCGTCAATGGTTCAACCTATTTGTATTTTCCTATTTTTTGATGAGGAACATGTGAAATATCATTTTTTTTTACCCGGAAATTTCGGAGCAATGAAACATTACGCAGAACTTGCGTACTGCCCAAAAAAAAAGACTGTCTAGCTCTGCAGGGAGGGAAGAGCTTATGTACGTCCTGCTATACCTCCAACTATTTCGGTTTATTATATTGTAGTCTGGTTCCCTGGCCTGACGATATCCTGACGCCTCTGCTAATTAAGTTTTGCACGTGGGTAATGCCATACACCAATTACTCGCGCATTTGAACAACATTTTGACACAAATCCCTCATCAGAGATAAAGTTTACCCAAAAAAAGGAGAAAGGAGAAGTTAAGCCCCGTAAAGGTGGTCAGAGAGCGCAAAAAATGCTAATCGTTTATTCAACGGAAGTCTTTTCACGCGTCTAATACACACAATCCGCTCCATTCACAAGTACCCCCTCACCGGCAAAGAAAGTACAGTTGGGGGTGACTGACCGACGCCATCTTGCCTGACTGCAATTTTGCCGCGACGCGCGGCCACCACTGGCACTGCGCGTACATACTGGTACAACTGAATCCCCTGGTGTACGTGCGTCACACACAAGGAACGGTGCGCGTCAACCAGCGAAATGTCCCGCCCGTGGGACGTCGTTGCTAGGTAATACTTGGGCACCCTCTTTCGTTGGCGCACGGAGCCCATGGGCCAGGTTTATCACAGGTGAAAGTAAGTTAATCAGTCCAGCAGTCAGCGTATTTCTTAACCAATCACATCACCCACTCTAACATGAATATTTAGCACTCTGTGTGGATGAAAGACAGTAGGTTCTCGTGGTGTTTCCCTTCTTTTAAAGTTATTCCAACCAACAAAACTATTTGATGAAAATGGACATGGGTTCGGACCACAGATCTTGCGATCCATAGTTCATTCCACTATCCACTAGGCCACTGTTGCAGCTCGACGATAGCCGTTCTTTGAAATGCTTTGAACATACATGCTTGAGTGGTAGCAATGGTGTGACGTCATTGTTCTTTTCTTTTGAATAAACATCGAACTAAATGAATAATCATGATCCATTGACGATGTGCGTTGCAGATAAAAATACCGCCGGCAGTCGGTCTGTCAGATACAAATATAGGCTGGACCTCAGTGACCGGCAAAAAAAACCTGCTTCCCATGATTCACTGCGAAAAAAGTCTTTGTGATAACCTGGAGCTCTTGGTGGCGCCCTCTATGATATTTCATACACATCACTGGTCTCCAAGTGAAACAATCTGGATATAAAGCGCGTCATTAGACATTCCCAGCTGTACAAACAAGTGCAGCTACGCACTGGTTCCCGATCCCTCCATTCGTAAGTGGGGAGGGGACCAGCCTCGACCACTCCCGTTGTCCAAAGTCATTACAATAGTGTCGTCTAAAAGTATACGGTAAATTGTTTTCTAAACCGTGACAATTTTATATACAGTAAAAAATACATTTTGTTGCCGTTTTTTAATTTATATTTAAACATAAAATAATATTTTGTTGAGTAAAACGTGTATACATGTCGATTAAAGTAGATATCTTAAGTCCATAGTTCTTGTAGTGGTTACATGGCGGGCGAAGACGTCACTTCTTTCAGCCAATGGGCTCTTCTCATCAAATCGTCTTGTATTCCGCGTCTCCTCGATGCCACAATCCTGCGAATTAAGAGCCGTCCCTGATCGCAGCTAGCATGCACACGACAAGCCAAAATTTGCAGCACAGTACACAAGAAAAATAACAATTTCCTGTTGACTGTTAATTACGTGCCCTCTAATATTCCCACAGCGCAGTCGACAATACTGTTTTGCAGACGGGGCCCATGGAAACACGCACGTAGGCACGGACGTATTATGGATGATTAGAAATGTAACAGGATATATAATGTTATTAAGGGAAACCCCCCAAAAAAGGTAATTCCCGTCAAAATCGTCACTTGAGAGTCTCTTTTAGAAAGGATAACAGAAGCTTTACAGATTTCATCTGTTAATTCGTTTTCCAATCTCGATCTCAACTAAAGCCACTCAGGTATTTATTTTAGAAGTGTAAAAGTCACACGAAGTTTGTGCACGATGGATATGCTTCTTTGCATAATTTATTCCTCATGCATATCAATTCCTGTTTCAGTAACCAAACGAAGGTTGCGCACGGTGGACAGGCTTAGGTGCATATTTAGTCCTCGTGCATATTTATTCCTGTTTCAGTTACCAAAAGAAGATTGTACACAGTGGCATGGGCGTCGCGAGGGGGGGGGGGCAAGGGGGGGCACTTGCCCCCCCCCCCCCCCTGGAAAGGCCAAAAAAAAAAAAAAAAAAAAAGAAAGAAAAAGAAAAGAAAAAAAAGAAAAGAAAAAGAGGCGCGAAGACAAAGTGGTGTAAATTTAATGAGTTGGGGGGGGGGGCAAATTGTCCCTGCCCCCCTCTAAAACTGATAAATCGAGAATGTGTTGAGAAATACAAGCATTTTTTGGCAAAAAAATTGTTTGCCCCCCTCTAGAAAAAATCCTGGCGACGCCCATGCACAGTGGATATGCTTATTTGCATATTTAATTCTCATGCATATTAGTTCCTGTTTCAGTAACCAAAAGAAGATTGTACACGGTGGATATGCTTATTTGCATATTTAATTCTCATGCATATTAGTTCCTGTTTCAGTAACCAAAAGAAGATTGTACACGGTGGATATGCTTATTTGCATATTTATTCGTCATGGATATTAATTGTTTCAGTGACCAAAAGAATATTGTATACAGTGTATAATTATGCTTATTCCTCATGCATATTAATTCCTTTTTCAGTAACCAAAAGAATATTGTATACAGTGTATATTCTTGTTTGCATATTTTTCCTCATGCATATCTATTCCTGTTTCAGACAGAAATAATAAACAACGCTGATAGCATCGTCGAGTTAGTACGGAATTCCAAATTCATTCATTAAAGGCAGTATCAGATTCAGCTCATATCTAATTACACTGCCTATGCATAGTCATTATGCAAATTAAGTCTGAAAAATGGCAGCCATTTTGAAATCCAAGATGGCCACCGATATAGACCTTTCTATTGTTTGTGAACGTTGAGCGCCATTTTGTATGGGCTGCTGCAAGCGCATAAATTGAAGCCGTGGTTGGCAACATAGGCCTATGCTTCCAACAAGATCCTCATAACATCTTCATTACATAAAAACAGGCATGTTTAGCAAATATTTTGTAGCGTTTGTTGGAAATGTTGTATTTTCAACATTCACGTAGTATTTTTGTTAACATTAGTAAATATTCAAGGCTGCATTTTTGAAGTGTTGGACCTTCCGTAGTTTGGCAACCCGATGTTGCCAATGTGTCAACCCGTGGTTGGCAATGTGCTAACCCCGTACGCGTCGGCGATAGAAAGGTATATAACCAACATCCCCATTACTATTACGTTCAATACCTTCATCGACGATATCACCAAAACTACTTCAATCATTACCATAATCATCAGCAACACTGTCACCACTATAATCCCCTCTAACATCACAACCTCATTACCATCATCACCATCATCAGTCATCATCCATACTAACATCACCAACATTACCATATGCACTTATATCATCACTGCCGACACAACCATCATTGAACACCAGCATCATCATAATTTCACACTGTTTTTTTTTTCTGAAACCATTCACAGAGATAGAATCGCCTCACCGCTTCTTTGCTGGTGCCTAGTCTCATCTCCAGCGGTAACAGATCCGTGGAGCTCTTGGTGGTCAGCCGCGGCGGGATAACCCTGGGCCCCTTCAGGATGGGTCTTTTGATCTCCGCCGCCATCTTGGAATTCTCAGCCTCCGAGAATGTTACTTTCCTCTCACAGGTTCACATAATAATACTGGTAGAGAGAGAGAGAGAAATTCGTTTATTCACAGTGACTGCTCATGAGAATGATGGGGTTGGATCATGCACGGCTGGCCAAGCGTAATTCCGATAATAATAAGTACAGATGGCTTGAGTTGAAACGCAGTGGGGTGGCTTACCCTATGAGGCAGACAGCTTAATTATTTATCATCTATTCGAGTATACAGAAGTACCATTGAACAGACACGCACAAAACTCAGTTTCATCAAGTGTCTGATACAGATAAAATCTTGCTTGAAAAGTGAAGCGTATAATCTTCTGAGCTGCATACTCCTATAAGCACCGGTCAATGCAGATCACGTGACACTATGCGTTTGCTCACACATGCCTGTCTGCGCCTGCGCAGTTATTTTGTGCGCCAGAGATGCGCACACACGTAACATGCGACATTTATAAATCAGTTGGGTTTTTTTTCCATTATATTTTCTCCGGATGAACAGTGCACACAAATGGCTTTGGTCATTACCAGACACGACGACAGTATTTATTAATAGTGCCAGGCTAAAGCTAGATAAACTATGATTTAGTACACTGAATGAAAAAGGTGGGGGGGGGGGGGGAGGGGGGAATATGAGGCTTAATACGGTGGCGGGCATATTGGAGTATACGTCAAAGTAATGACCATAATGCTACGTATAGTGGTCGTAATTGACACCTTTAGCTGGTTCCTGTGAAGTCTTCAAAGTTGTAATACGAACTCTCCAGAAATAGTCGAAGCTCCAAAACTGAATCTTTATTGTGGATGGAAATAGCCGCGTTGAAGGTCTCAAGTGCACGTATCTTTTTTTTTGGGGGGGGTGATGTTTTTGAGGGTATTATCATTGCCCCTTTAACCCTAAAGGGGCCGGGTTATTTTGACCATCTCTCAGCCGGGGGGGGGGGGGGGGCGGATTCCGCCCCCCCCCCCTAAGATCTCGGCCATCGAGTGACGAAAATTTTTGAAACTCAGCACATGCATAGAGCAACTCTTCCTAAACATGCCCAAGAAATTTCATGACTATAGGTCAAAGGGTTTTGGAATTATGGCTAATTAATTATTCATATGTATGAATGGCAATTCTGCTCGGTGTACACGACGTATATGCGAAAATTCAGTTTTCACGGCGCGTAGCGCCGGAAAATTTTTCGCTACGTGCCAACCCGTAGTCCGATTTTTATGTTTTTGGTATCAAAAGATGCGCAAAGCTCGAGGCTAAAAAGTCATAACAGCTCGGGTCGCGAAAAAAAATTTTTTAGAAGCTATCGCGGAAAATGTTGAGGGGGGGCGGATTCCGCCCCCCCCGGCCCCTTTAGGGTTAACGCCCCTCCCCCTACAACGCCGATCTGAAAAAAAATGCTCTAAATATCAATCACACTGTTTAATATCTATCGATGAAATAGTTATATCGAGCAAAATCCCTTGCACTAAAGCATTGGGTGTGTATAATTATCATACCACTGCTCCAACCTAGTCCCCAGTGCTTACTTTATTTCCAGCCTCGTTTCCAATAGTAAGCCCTGGATAGGAAACTTTCTTCCTGTATCCTGATTCGATACCGCAATTGGGTAGTAATGAATTGATATCGTGTACTTGATGTTGTTATTTCCAACGTGTACATGCATTACGTGTTTTCACGTTCATTGTAATTATTATACGTCCACACCTTCTCAAAAATAATCCTTTCCTTTCCAATTTGCTCATATTTATATGAAATATGATGCTGCATATTGGCTGGATAAGATTATAACATTTTAACTTTGACTCCGAACAAATCGTGTTTTCGTAACTCACGCCGCGACGAATTGATTCTGTTATTACCCCCGCCACTAGCCCAGGTTGGACGAAGTCTTTATACGACTAACGTCCAGGGCAAGAATTCTCTACATGAAACCACCCACCATTTTTACCAGAGTTTTGGTATGTTTTACCTCGTTATAGAAGCTTATTTCACGCCTACATACTCTATGTGTCCTTATCTGTTGGGCTGATGGGTTCAGGAATTCCATATGCGATGCTGACTGACGTTAATCAGGAAAATAAAGTCTAAAGCAGCGTTAAACTTGTACGTGTTTGTAGTCTCTTTTCATCAGTTTATTCCAGAGTCGTACGTCATGTACAATGTACGTGCGTACGAAAGCGCGTACGCACGCTAGCGCCCTCATTTGTTTAGTTTTGGTTGGAACCGTGACGTCACTCCAGTCAACCGATGTCGCGAAAACGCTCAACCAATGACCAAAGCCGAAACGTGTTTCTGGTAACTGGCGCGAAAACACGCTCGGTCATTGGATTAGCGACCGCGCCTTCAAGTAAGTGCGCGTGCGTATGAGGGTGGTTACTAAGCAAATCGCGCGTGCGCACTGCATATTCATGCTGCATAGTCTGGCCCCTGGACCAGACGTGATATGAGCGTCGAGAATAATTGTCCGGTCTAGGGAACCAGACTAAACGCTGCACAGACGTTACATCATGTACGACTAGAATAGACTCGGCGGTGAGAAACTGATGAAAAGAGTCTACAAACACGTACAAGTTTAACGTTGCTTTCGAGTTTATTTTCCAGATTAAGGTCGGTCAGCATCGCATATGGAATTCCTGAACCCATCAGCCCAACAGATAAGGACACATAGAATACTACGACGTAAAAATTAGCTTCTCCAACAAGGTAAAAATATTGAAATTATTGGTCAGAAATGTTTTCGTTCGGTTTTGAGCACTTTTTACCCAGGACTTTCTCCGTAACGTAGGGAGGAAAGGGAGTCCACCAGGGCTACCCCCGCCACATACAAAAACAAACGCTGATGAAAAGCACAGGCAGGCACCAGACTATTCCTCATTTGCATACGTGTTCAAAAAAAAATTGCACATGCAAATGATCCAATACCAGGGTGAGAGATCGGGTACAGTGGTGGGCGCGAACTGCTCGACACCCTGGAGACGAGGTTGACCACTGCCCATTCCATATCAAGTGAGATCTCGTAGACCTCTGGATTCATTTTCGAGAAGAAATTGTGCAATGCATTTTGTACAACAAATAAAAAATAATCACATATCGCGGTCATCAATACCTATCACAAATATAGGCCTACAGAACATTTGGATATACATCGTATTCGCTGCTTGTTTACGCATGGTTGCAAACATTGTCTGGAAGAGTAATGTTTCTAAGCTTCTAACGGAAAATACTTCACATAGAATGTGCATTGTATAGAAGTCATAAGAGAGCGGCAGTTTGATTGGATAACATTATTAATGGCGTTCTGCTAAAGTAAAGACGTTTCCGTCTTAATGGAAAAACCGCGTCCGACAGATATAAATACCCTCTAACGGCAATGCATCATCTTCCATAGATCCGATGCTTAGTGGGGAAGTCCTAATGCATCTCAGAATGAAAAGCCAAAAAGGGGAAGATAAAAAGCACTTTGTGATTTGGCTCTCAGTTATTTAGGAGCCGCAAGATAAATGGGGGATGTTTGGGGAAATGCATTAGGCAGTGTCTCGTAAAATGCGCTCCCTTCATTGTAAAAAATGCTTACGATTTCTGTTTTAACAACCCCCATATAGTTCTGGAGACTGCGCTGGGATGATAAACTCGAAATTGAAGAGATGGAGGCAAACGACGCCACGAAGCAAAATACGCAACTGTGTAAAGTAAACATTTGTAATCAAATTGAGAGTTTCATACAAACAAACGTGGCGTTCCATATTAAGTTTTGTTCTGACGAGATCACAAGGAAAATTTATGTGCGCCACGCGTAGTGCATTCTGACATGTATGAAACAATTGTATTATGGACTGCGGGAATATCATTATCTAGTCATAGCTAGATTTCCGAGTCTGTTAAAAGCAAATGTCGAAATGTCTATACAGAAAAACTCTACTGTATTGTGTGAATTTTTATCAAGTATATTTGAACAGCTCGAAACATGCAGACGGATAAAAAGGATTCGGGTTTTTGACGACTGTATTGCAATTGTTGGTGACTTGCTAATACTCCGGATGTTCTTGCACGACTCGCACTTTAAATTATTTCTGGCAAAATTGTCGTAATGTGAAATTTGGCAACACGCCAAGTATTTTCTTTCATTAGTCGATGTATACACAGGCTGGATTCTGGATGAGAAATGAAATTCAAAAAAGCTGTGTTGTTTCATCATGAAAGGATTGTATGAGTCGTTTCATCACATCGAAAGCGGAATGCTGAGCGGATAAACACGCAGACGGACAAAAAGAAGCCGGTCGCTAAAATTATGGGAATAAAAGCTGTAGGCCTATACGAAAGTAATACGCATAGGCCTAATGAACAATTCAAGAATTGATTCTGAGTTGCATGCACATAGGGAACTAGAGGAAGCGAAACGTTAACATTTCTCATGCAAGACTGTCTCGGTTTTGTATTTCTTGCGTCGGGCCCCATACCCATTCAGCAGTCTAGACAACGTAATTGGTAAACTCAAGGAAAGCCTATATGTACGGGACAGTAGATATTTGCGTTAATGGAGGAGCTAACTTATATTACACTTATGGCAAGGAGACTTGTGTCATATTCTGACTCCATAAGATATCTCCCTTGACTATTGCGCCTGTCTGAGCCTGCAGAGTGATGTCAACACATTTGAAAAGTTTTTAGTTTACTAAGGAAAAAAATAGGATTTGTGTAAATGTAAGAGTGGGCATATTTGCAAATGTGGAACTTGTAGTTCATTTTCATTATTTTAAGTATTTTTATTGCCAGCCGTCTTGTTCATATTTTTGTTCCGATGTATTTTGATTGCACCTCAACAGTGCATATTGCAGAGCTGAAAATTATTCACAATCTTATTGAGGGCTTTCAAGTCACCGTTTCTCTTGTAATAATTATATCCAGATTCATTTTATTATCTACAGTAGCAACTAATGATTAAATACATCTATGCACAATTATAGAATCATCGGTCAAGCACAGCTACACTATCATTCATGTCTCTACAATATTATGTTCCCACTATCAAAATGAA